GGTATGCGAAAATGACATACTACTACTACTACTACTACTACTACTACTACTACTACTACTACTACTACTACTACTACTACTACTACTACTACTACAACTAGATCTACAGCAGCTAGTTCTGCCGCCACTACAAATGTATTAGAGAAGGTTATTGGATAGGTGAATACGTGTGTGTTTGTATTTGTGTATGTGGTATGTGTGTGTGTGTGTGTGCAGTGTGTGTATGTGTGTATCTGCATGTGTGTGTGTTTGTGTGTGCACGTATTTTTGTGCGTTTGTATTAGTCTCTAGGAAACTTTAAGTACACCCAACATTGTTCCAAAACACATAAACAAACAAACGAACAAAATGACATTACATCTCTTTCCTCCTCTCAAGTAACCAAACAGTGTCATGGGGGGGGAGGGGTGGGGGGAGTTATCATTAAAACAAAATCCAAACCCACCTCCAACCCTACGTCCTACCCTCCCTTCTACCCTACCTCCTACCCCTTCTTCCTACCCTCCCTCCTACCCTCCCTCCTACCCTCCCTCCTACCCTCCCCTACCCTACCAACTACCCTCCCTCCTACTCTCCTTTCTACCCCACTGCTCTCCCCATCTCCTACCTTACTTCTTACCATACCTCCTACCCTCCCCCCTAACCCACCGCTCTCCCTACCTCCTACCCTCCCTCCTACCCCACCCCTACCCTCCCTCTTACACTACGTCCTACCCAACCTACTACACTACCTCCTACCCCTTCTTCCTACCCTCCCTCCTAAGCTACCTCCTACCCTACCTCCTACCCCTTCTTCCTGCCCTCCCTCCTACCCCACCCCTACCCTCCCTTCTACCCTACCTCCTACCCCTTCTTCCTACCCTTCTTCCTACCCTCCCTCTACCCTCCCTCCTACCCTCCCTCCTACCTCACCCCTACCCTCCCTTCTACCCTACCCCCTACCCTACCTCCTACCCTACCCCCTACCCCACCGCTCTCCCTACCTCCTACCCTATCTCCTGCCCTACCTCCTACACTACCTCCTACACTACCTCCTACCCTCCCTGCTATCACACCTCCTACCCCACCCCTACCCTCCCGCCTACCCTCCCTCCTACCCTCCTTTTTACCCCACCTCCTACACTCCCGCCTACCCCTTCCACTGCATATTATTATCTCTTTCTCTTAGGATGTCACGACTTCTCCAACGACGACGGAAATCCTTGCCTGTACAAGACTGTCTTCGCTGGAGTGACCACCCCTGACCGCCCCTGCGCCTCCAATACCGCCTTTGACCCCATCACCTGCGCCTGTACCCAGATCAACCCGACTTGCTTCGCTGGTGCCATCAGCCCCGAGCAAATGGCCGAGAACAAACGTTTCGGTACGTCCAGCTGGCGTCTCTCTCGCTCTGTCTGTCTGTCTGTCTGTCTCTCTGGCTCTGTCTGTCTGTCTGTCTCTCTTGCTCTGTCTGTCTGTCTATCTGTCTCTCTCTTTCTCTCTCTCTCTCTCTCTCTCTCTCTCTC